GGGTAGTGCGGGGGAGGTGGCTGTTCCCGAACTTTCTACGGGGTTGAAAGCTATCCCCCCGAAAAGCTTAAATAGCACTGCGGGATTTGTGTGCTGCCCCTGTGGGGAGAGCCTGGCCATTTTAATTCTGTTTCTTAGCTCAGGCAAAAATTGGTAGATTGGAAGACTTCTTACATCACTAATTTCTGTGCTCCAGCTTGGAAAGCATCTTCTGATGGCCTTGCTGCCCCGTTGACGTTAAGCAGCTGCTAATGCTGTGGTCTGACAGATACTCGGTACTTCTTTTCCTGTGACAGGTCAGCTAAAGACTGTGGCAGGTTGAGAGGTCCCTTCCAGGGATCTTAACCTGCTGCCGCCTTCCATGAACCTGTAGCTGGGGCTGAGGACAAGGCCTGAGGTGCAGCTTGACACTGTGGTGGGAGGCAGGCCAATTCTCCCTGTGGTAACGGGAGTAGTTCTGAGAGGGATTTCCAAGCAGACCGACTCTGGGGCTGTGCTAGACAAAGCCTGTGTTAGGGGCCACTAGAACTCACTGTTTGGTCCCTGCCTCCCCCACCCCGCAGTAGAATACACTGCTCTCCTGGCAACAAGTCCTTGGATTGCCTAGGCTTGTCTATGGTGGGAGGGTGCATGGACTCGGTGGTTGTCTTTCAGGGGTGATGGCAGTACTGGTTACCATGAAGCCAGTTTGTTAGGATTTTTTTATCTTGCTGTGTTGGACCTGCTCACTCTCCACAGCGGTGGCCTCTAGAGGGTAGCAGAGCACAGGTGGGAAGATGTGTTTGATAATGCAGACTGGGGTCAGCCAAGTCCTGTTGTCCTAGTTCTCGACTCATCCAGTTCTCACATGCTTGTTGTGTGCATACGTGCTTCTCACTTCGCTGATGCCCTACCCCTGCTCTCCCCCCTTCACCTGCCTCAGGCCACATAATGCCTGTGACCTTCAATGCACCATCAAACACCCTGCCCAGTTCCTCTCTCAGCTGTTGCATCTCACTAGCCAAGGGCCTAAGTGCTCTCTGAGCTGCCACGGTGGGGATGGAGGGGACAGCATGCAGGTTTACCTCTTTCCCACTTACCCATGCTTGTGCCCACACTATGATGCCCATGCAGATGATAACCCACTTCTTTCTGCTCTCCAACAGCCTCTATTACATCACGCTCTTCACCTTCTTTTTGGCCCTTGTTCACTTCCTCTCCGAGGTCTTCATTTACCATACTGCAGCCTTGACAATTGGAGTTATGGCACCCCTCATGGTAGCAAGTAAGTAGAGCTCTGCCTTCTCCCCCCACAAATGCTTCTTGGAGCTAGCACACACACCCCAAAAAACTCTCCATGGGCCTATAAGCCTGGGAGGGCAGGGTGGAGGGGAATGCCTCAGCTCTCGTCCAGCTTTTCTACACAACGCATCCTGTATCTACATCACAGGTTTCTCGATCTTGGGGATGTTGATTGGGCTGCAATACCTTGAGGTAGAAGCACTGTCACAAAACAAGAAGAAAAACTGAAGCTGAGGGCCCTGTGTAGGCCAGCGTTGTCTCCTGTCTTCACTGCCAAACCTCCACTAAAGCTCAACTGAACTGCTCCAGGATACCAGTCACCCTGGTGGACCAGTGTTGGACTCTTTCAATCATTCCTCATTACCAAGTGTTTTGTCTTGTCCAGGCAACACTTAAACTGACTGATGTCAAAGGCCAAGTCCCAGAGGAGTTGGTGTCAAAGCTTGTGGGGGGCAGCTGGCAAGTGCCCCCCCCAGAGGAGAGCAGGCACTGTCTCCCGTGTGCCAGGTGCGCTAAGTCCCAGCGTAGCTGTGGGGAGGTGGGGTAGAGATACCCAGGGACATGCTGAATCACTTTGGATCAGAAAGAGGGAACGCGTGCTGCCCCTGGCATGGCTGTGTAACTTGCACACTTGTGTTCCTCGGGCTGTTTCTAATAAATGACAGAAAACTGCAGGACACTATGTCTTGTTTTTCTGCTATGCAGCAGCAGGTAGAGGAAGTACAACCTAGGAGCAAACAGCAATTTCTACTGTATGTTGCAGGATAAATCATCTCTTTTTACAGCAAAACCACCTTTTCTTGACTCTTTCTGACAAAGCTCCAGGTCTGACAGCTCACATCACACACACACACGGTTGCTGCAGCTCTCGCTTCCACAGCATCCTGGTGACAGCAGAGTGCACCCATCTGTGAGCAAGGGCTGAGCGACCTCTGCAGCGAGCTAGAACTACAGAGGATGGAGAAAACAGGGACAGGTTGCTTAGACTTAGACAAGATAATGCCCAAAGCAGATGGGCAGTGCCCAGGAGGTGGAAAGGCTAGTGCAGGATCTCCTAGCTGGGAAGACAGTGCATGTGCAGAACAGAGAGAGTTAACAGAAGGGAGGAAAAGAGCATAACAGGAGCACTGGGAAGAGAGATGATTCTTTTCATTCTGCAAAATATGCCAGGCTATTAAAAGAGACAGATGTTGGCTGTTTCAACCATTTAATATCAATGTGTCAGGTTTCATTGAACACTCCAAATATTTTTATTTTATATAAAAACTTCTATTGAAAAGCCATTTTAGACCCTCACCCCAAACTATCAGAACATTTGCCTTGATTTTTTTTTTTTTAATGTATCAAAGGACTGTATAATTTCACCCCAAAAGGTTAGTCCTTTCTGACATACTATTTTTGATAGGTTTTATCCATTCCACCTGGTTGTGATTTTTGTCGTCCCTCCCCACAAATGATATATGCATAACTGCATGATTTAAAAAGTATAAGGACATTTTATTTCTCTACCAGTGGAGGGATGCTGGAAAGGAAGGAGAAGGGATGTAAGGAACCACATTTGTGTTCAGAAGATAAACAGCAGCATACAGAGGGATGGTGTCTATGAGACACAAATGCTGGTAAGAGGGCTTCTTCTCCTGTTCCCTGTTATAAAGGAGGAAGCTTCCACACTGGAGCAAATCTGGATTCCTATCATACCCAAACCCCTCGTTGTGGCCATGAAGATCAACACAGCTTTGGCTGGTTACCTCAGTGTAACACTTTACAAAAGTTTTTATGTAGCATTGAAACATGCAAAAGGCACTTTGTCATTAAGGAGGAAGACAGTCCTCAGCTCAGGGCACTTGTGGTCTCACTCATTGCTGTTGCTAGCATAGCTATGACCTGGGTGGGCTTAGGCTGTAGGTTCAACATAAGCTGAAGAACTAGTCCTTGCCTCGAGGTAGGAGGCATGTTGGTATCTCTCAGTTACTGCTAATCTATAGGAACATCAGGGCAACCTCAGTAAATGGGCTAAAATTGAAGGCAAGACAGGGGAGAGTGATGTTA